AGGGACAACTGTAACCCTTGGTCCTTATAACCAGAGTAATATTTGCTGGTTGTTTTAGGGTGTGTATGTTTAAATGTGTTTTTTAAAAGTCTGTTTTTACATGATACCTCGGTAAAATCTTTTACAGATCTAAATGAACCAGATCCTATCTGATCTTGGAAGCTAAGCAGGGTCAGTCCTGGTTAAGACTTGGACCTGGCAAAATCATATCTAAGAATTCCTTGCCTAAGAAAAATACAAAGTTCATGGGATTGCCATACGTTGACAGATAATTTGAAGGCTATTATTATTTACTACACATTACCTAGCAGGCTGAGAGGTGACAAATAAATAAATAAATAAATATTGGGAAGAAAGATGAAAAACCAGCTAAAATATGTTGCAGCATGAAAACACTTGAGAGCTCCTTCCTTCCTTCCTTCCTTCCTTTTTGAGCCCTCAGTTTGAATAAGGGCTGTGTTTATCTTAAACAACCAAACCAAATTTTAAAGTTCTTTTGCTGTCACAGTCCTAACCAAACAACCTAGGGAAATGTAGATCTACTGTTTTGTTTTTTAAAGTTTGTCAGTGAAATACTGGCTCGAGTAGTTACAAAGGCAGTAGGATCTTCAAAAAACAAATTTCCATCATCTGCATAAGGTTGCAATTCTCATGGGGGAACATTTAACCAAGAACAAACTGGTTTAAATTTGTACTGTACTGTGATATTAATAACTCCCAGGTGTTACCCTTGCACAATTTTTCAGTTTTAGCATGTGTTCCTATAGAGATACTTTTTTTAACTGATTGGTTTCCATTAATTGATTATGTTAACCAATATAAAGATATATTAATGCCTCCGTAGTCTCATACTGGACTTTAGAATGATGTTCTGTCATAGATATAGTTTTAGGTAACTGGCTTTCTTGTGAAACGCTGTTTCCACATCCTATAATTTGAATGTCTGGTCAGTGGCTGTCTTGGTTTCGTATTTGATCTTACATCTTACATTTCTATGTTGTGTTTTCCCCATAACAAAACTAATTAAAAATTGTTGCCATGTGCTTATTTTGTACATATGTTGCAAAGACATGTGTTTGTGTGACAGGGAGGTCATTCATATTTGCTGTCTTCACTCCAGACATGAAATTGTACATCCTCGTGACTACTCTAACTAGAACTTGTGCACACATATGCACAATATACTGTATACACAAAAATGGGAAACCTGCAACACACAGGGCTCCAAAGCACACAATACACTTGTATGCACACACACTTTGTAATTCAAGATTAGGAGCAAGCCTGGTGGGGACAATCCATCAAACACACATATTTATCGAATGTGTGAACAAGGCCTTTGGTCAACAACAAAACAACCTAGCACTTCAAGAACTATACTGTCCAATATCTTTTCCATAAACTGTCCTGGGAATTATTTTGAAAAGGGGAGCAGGCATTTTTCATAATTAAAAAATGGATAATATTTACAGATGTTTACTTGCTGGAACCTCAAAATTGACTCAAGGCACTATACTTTCCACCACTTGGTCACAATTCAATTTTTTTAACAGCCAGTGTGAAATTCAGGACCTGTTTGTTGATGGTACCAATTTGGGGGTTAAGCCTTTCCTGGTGGGACCCATTAATGTCTTTTCTCTTCTCAAATTTAGGTGGGCTTAGAAAACCCATTTGTTTAAAGAAGCCACTAATATTCAATTATTTTTTCACATTTAAGAATATATTAGTTCTAATAATGCTCCTTTGAGGTTCTCTTACCCTTATGGTAGACTTTGGCACTGATTTTCATAATTTGTTGTTGTTGTTGCTCTTAATTACTGACTGCATTCTCTTTGATAGAGATTTGATACAGATTTCTTTGATAGAAATTTCAAGGTGGAAAGAAGACCTTATGCTGAATTCAGTGTGTCAATCTATAAAAAACCCATGCTAGTGCCAGAATCCACCAGACCAATTCTGAAACCCTTTCAGAACACCTCAAGCTTTTCTCTAATTGTCAGAAACAATTCCAAAATTATTTTCTACAAAACAGTTCTTATGTTCTATTACTTCTGTTTTGGCAGCTGTGTAGGCCTAACCTAAGAGGTAAATTCTCACAGCTTATACAACATAGCAACTATGCACATTCATTGTAGTGTATGTCACCTGTGATACATGCAGTTCCTTAGATGGAATTA